CTGGGGACGATAGTTGTCAAAAGCCTTGCAGGGCTCAATTTGGTATTAGAACACAAAGTTCAGGCAACATTTTTTAAATTATCAGGTGAGTGCAAAATGCTTTGGGCCCAGCAAGACCAGTGCCATCTGGCCACTTGCCCCAGGGTGCTGGAGAGTGATGAGAATGCCTCTCACTTGACTTGTGCTAACCCTAACCCTAAATTTGCTTGATTCACCTGCATAGACCTTATAACCACCCTCATAGGGGTCCCTGGGATTTTGTAACCACCCTCATAGGGGCCCCTGGGATTGGAAATTAATTTTGCTCAGGGTGAATATTTTAAATTTCTCACCCTTCACAAAGAGTGAATCTTCCAAATTTCTCACCCTTGAAAGGGTAAATAGCTCTGACTGTTCACCTTACCAAGATCTAATCAGGTAAAAATAAACAGAAAAACACCCCTGTTATGGTGAGTGCTTTCAAATGTTTATCCTCACTTCAGTGCTTGGGTTGATTTTATCTGCAAAATAATTTTTTTTGACAAGCATTCAATTCTGTGTGGCAATTTTTGGACCCAATTCACCCTTCAGCTAATGTAGTGCAATCCTTGTATTTTTTTTGCACTGGAACACAGTGTGTCAACCTGATGGTGGTACGAACAGCATGAGGAGCAGGTCTCAAAAAAGCAAAAGCTTAACCACTACATACAGTACTGTTTCTTTTACAAGTCCAATGTCATTGTCAGTTTTGAGGAAAAGATCGAGTGATTTCCCCACGAGGAGGTATGGTTTGAAAACTGCAAAATTTATCTTGAAAAATGGTAGAACTGGTTATTATTATTATTATTATTATTATTATTATTATTATTATTATTATTATTATTAATTAAAAGTGGTTACAAATAATTTCTGTTCAGTGTCCATCCATGACTGTTTTCTTTTTACTTGCACCTTGTAGAACAGGAATGGTGAAAGCTTTTCAGGACCTGCATTCTCTGCACACATGAAAAGCTTGTTTCACAGCCTCACTGGAAAATCGGTGACAATCAACATGCTTCGATCTGCATTCATTACCTGGTCATATGGTAGAGAGTAAGTGGCCATTTTTGTACTACTATACAATTCAGCAAATAAGTCATGCCTTTTTTTAATGAGGGCAACACCAAATAGCCTCAACTTTTGGCCCTCAAAACGTAACCATACAGTTTCATTTAACAATTAATTAAGAAGTCATTAACAACAACAAGAGATAATTTTGTTATTCCGTGCTGTCAAATTCCACAAAGGAAACATCGACCTAGGTTAAAGAAATGGGTTTTAAATGATTACTTCCATTGAATCGTAACTCGTAACCAGTTTCTGATTTCCTAGGTGAATCATGAAAAAGGCTGGAATTTCTTTTGTGATCAGAACTTATGCTGACGTGAAAGAGTAAACATATCATGAAAGTCATTAGCAGGTGAGCCTCTTTTAAAAAGATACATAAATTTAATGGTATCAATACATGTCCAAGAATTTTAACTCGTGCTCTGTAAAAAGGAACATTGCTTTGAAAATCAAAAGACACTGGGTATTCTTCCGATTATTTTCTTTTGCAGAACCATAATGCAATTTAAATCAGACTGACATGGTGATCTCCATACCAAAACACAACATATGCATTCAGGGTGAACTANTTACTTCTTGGACTTTTCTTACTATTCATGTCAACTTCTTCAGTGGTATCTAAGATGGAAATAGGTAAAGTCTTCTTATCTATTTTGAACATCAGTTTAGCCAAATTAACTTTATATGTGGTTTCAATGGAAGACCATCGAGCCTTGCTTAGTACTTCAGACTTAGGCATATCCCATGGCCAGTTAAAACTTAATTTTGCCACTCTACAGTGTAAAGACTATAACGCAATTAGGCCCTCCTTATTAGTAAGGCCGCCCCAGACAGTAATACCATATATAATTGATAGGTAAATCAGTTAGATTTCAATGTATAATCTCCTACAGTAATGGATTGAGGCTTTTGTGATCTGACATTATACCGCTAATTTTTGCCACGCCCTCTCACGAAGAGGGGCTCTTTTGGGGTGGATTGATGAGAGGAAATTGTTGGTTTAATATGATACTGTTCGGCGGTCAAGTCCTTCGAGCACCAAGAATGCACAGGCAGCCGTTACGTAACTTGCCCCGTCAAGGCAAGTTCCGTTGTTTTCTCGGCCAAAATATAAAAATAGCTACATGGGAAAAACCACGAATGACATCAAGGTCATTTTTTCGGACGTCAATTTGGAGAAATTTGACGTCAATAGGTAAACAAGGTGTAGTCTATGTGCAGACATTGGACGTTAATAGGTAAGCAAGACGAAGTCTATTTTGTAAAATTTGATGTACGGTGCTCCATTATACAAGTGTCCCCTGGCAAAAAAAAAATTTATGAAAAAGGCATTTCAAGCAGACCTCTAAATATCAGCCGGAAAGGTGCAATCTCCGATTACTTTTCATTCAAGAGTTCGGGTCAAGAGGAACTAGAGTCGCAGGAACTATTTTGATAGGAGAAGCATTATTTAGTATTCTTTTCAAGAGTAGAAATCGCTCTTGCACCACACAAACACCAGTCGTCGAGTATTTTAGGACCTGGATTTGTTTACTCTAAACACCAGTGTACCCTAACCTTTCTCCCGTGCGACAGTCTCCTATCCAAATGCACAGCTGATACTTTTCCCGCATAGTTTCAGGGAAGTGAAAAGTGCATTTTCCTCACGAATCCCCGGAAGATCCACCAATGACAAAGGCGAATGATGATGACAAGGTACAGAGTACACAAAGCTTCAATGATTTTCGCCTTGCACCATATCGCCTTTTCCGGTCTGCTCTATTTTCATGTCATCTATGTCCTTCGAAGAAATGTGTGAGAAACTCCACCCATTTTCTTTCATTTAGATCTCCACACCCTCAAGCAGTTGACTACGACGGTGACGATAGCGGACAAAGCCTGTAAAGGTAAGATATCGCTTTTGGTGCTTTGTTTTCTTTTTATTCCATAGTACGTGAGAAGTTCTCCCTGCGCTCAAGACCTTTTCTTCCTTTATGACTTGGTTTTTTTTTTTCTCCTAAGATGCCAGTGTTAAAATATCCAAGCAATCGTTGAAAAACTGTTTTTGTTTTTGTTTTTTGTTTTTATTCTTGTAGATCTTTGCAAGAGTGATGCTTGTTGCAGAGACGACAAAAGTCCACCAAAAAGGTAATGACAATTACAGATGTCTCCTGCATCTATTAATTAGTTCATTTGGTTAGGCAGGGGATGTTAAAGAACCCACTCACGAGATTACTAGGAAATGGGGGGAAGAGGCATCTGTTAGATTCACCTTTATTTGATTGTAAACTGCTTAGCAGACTGGTAAAGTCTCCCGCACAGTGTTGTAAAGCACAATGAGCTCAGGATATCAGCGCTATATAAATTAAAGTTATTATTCTTAATATCAATANCGACTCTGAGGAGGTGTTCAACGCACTTACTTTCAGAAATGCAACCAGGGCAATACTTTCCTGCACCAACAGCCTGGATATT